CCATCCCGTGTGGTTTAAGGTATTAGTAGTGCAAGCTTGTCAAGAAAAGATTCAAAAATAATTGTCAGGATTTTGATCAACGTACAGACTGGAAAAATCAAATGAGCATAGGTGAGGAGTTCATAGAATGTTTTCAGAGTAGTTTCTTTGACTAACATTGTTACTGTGCACTGAGATAGGATTAATTAATAACCTCAGTGAAGATGCCTCAGGTTGCTGCAATCATAATATTATTGAATTTTGCATTCAGTTTTAGAGAAAGAGCAGGTTCAAGGCTTTTATTTTAAAATAATTGGTCATTGTTTAGTCATAATTTACCAAACGTGGGTAATCATGAAAACAGAACCAGTTAAAGTGAACTGACAAATTGGAACATTTCAAAAACACATTCCAATGAAAAGAAAAAACAAAATCAAGGAGAGGATCCACCGCGTGTAGTTAACTAAAATTTATAAAGAGCATCAAAAAGAAAAAAAAACTTTATCATTGCATAAAGATTTTGGCAGGTCTCAAGATAAGACAGAGTATAAAAAAAAAGCAAAGAATGACTAAAATATTACCAAAAGAGAGAAGAAATTGAGTGAGAGGGAACAGTAAATATGTAGGCACCTTTCTGAGAGTAAAAGCAACAGGGGAGCAATAGATGAATACATTAAGTACCCTACTATCAATTGCAATATGAATAGTGTGAATGGCACAGTTGGCACAAGATCCTTGAACTTAATTCAAGAGATTTTTTTTTGTTTTTAAAAATGCCAACACAAAACAAGCCCAATCAGAAGGGTCATAATTCTAGATGAAGCTGAGCAAATGAATAAAGTAGCAGTGGATGATCCTTTTGGAGGTAGTGACCATAATACAATTAGATTTAGCATTATGATGACAGAAGGAAAGAACAGGAATACAAGTTCTAAATTGGGGAAATAAAAAAAAATTACAGTATGATCCATAAGTTATTATCAGGAAAAAATAGCATCAAATCAGTGTGAGGCATTCAAAGACAAGATTGATGGTTGGTACAGTGTAGGCATGTCCCCACAATGGAAAAAGGTGGCAGTGCCAAATCTGGAGATCACCTGATATCTAGAAGCACGTAGGTTAAGATAAAGCAGGAAATGAAATCTTATGACAGTCACAAAAATCTTAATGCTGTAGAAAGCCAAGAGAAAGTATGAGGTGGAGTAAAAATGGAAATTAGGAAAGTCAAGGGTGGACAGGGAAATGTATTGGCAAGGAAAACCAAGGAAAATCCAAAGATATTTTAACAATATATTAAGATATACATGGGCACTTATGTATTGATGCAGATAAAGTGGGTAGGAATCTCAATGAGTATTTGCTTGTCTGCACCAAAGAGAGGAACAATACAGACATCTGAGTTAAAGTGGAACATGAAATATTAGATATAATAAGCATGGTGGGGGATGGGGGTGGATGTACTGGAGGCACTGACATCCTTATTTAAACAAGATGTAAGGGATAGGCTGAATAATTATAGGCCAGTTGGTCTGAATTTGGTATTGGACAAATTATTGAAATCAATTCTGAGAGACAGGATAAACTGTCATTTAGAAAAACAGAAATTAGGCATAGTCAGGGATGCTCTGGAAAGAAATGATAATGAGGCAACAGCCAGAATTTTGCACAGAGTTCAAGTCACCACATATAGGACATAATTGCTCTGGAGAGAGTAGAGATATTCAAGAATGTTGCCAGAGCTTGAAAATTTTAGTGATGACAAAAATAAAAAAAATGGACAGGCTAGGCTTATGTTGCTCAGTGTAGGAGTCTGAGGAACAACTGGTGAACAAAATTATAAGAAGCCTAGACGGGGTAGACGGGAAAGACCTGCTTCCCTTAGTATACAGGTCAATTACCAGGTAGCATATATTTCATTTGTACAAGCATTGGAAGAGGCAGGAGAAACAAAAACACCTTTTCACTCAGTGCAATGGGCAACCAGATTCAGTGCCCAGATTTGTGGTGAAGACAGAAACTTTCAATTCATTTTAAAAAGGTACCTGGATCTGCAACTGAAATGGTGTGTCCTGCAAGGCTATAGACCAGGTGCTATAAAGCAGGATTGAAATGAGTAACTAGTTTCTTTATTTCTCTTTTCAGCTTACGTAGACATAATGGGCGGAATGGTGTCTTTTGATGCTGTACCTTTTCTATGGTTCTACCGAAGAAAGGTGGCCAGAAATATACAACTAGATAGTAAGAATTTCTATATTTAAACATGAAAATGGTTTACAAAATGAGCATTGGTCCTAAGTAATTCTGGGGAATTAATAATGGAAAATCAGGAGACTACAGATAAATTGAACAGATATTATGTATTGATCCTCACTATAGGGGACACACATAATATCCAAGGAGGTGATGTTAATCAGGAAACGAATGGGGGTGAGGTGAAGGAACTTGTACAGTCACAAGCCGAGAGATATTGCGCAAGTTGTTGGAGCTGGCAGCAACAGGTTCCCTGGTCCTCAGGGACTTCATCCTACAGCCTTAAAAAGAAGTGACTAATGAAATAGTTGAAGGGTTGATTCTAATTTTACAAAGTACCCTAGATTTGGGAAGATTTAATTGGTTGAAAAATAGCAAATGTGAATCCTTTATTTAACAAGGGATGGAGAAAGAAAGCAGGAAACTATATGCTAATGTTAGAAGTTATTATTAAAGAGGTTATAGCAGGACACTAAGAAAAATTCACCATAATCAGGCAGAGTCAACATGGTTTTGTTAAAGGAAAATTATGGCTAACCAATTTATTTGACTATACTTGATTTCCAGAAAGTATCTGATGAAGGTGCTACATTAACGGTAGTGCAGAAAATAGAAGTTCCTGGTGTGGGGCTAACAGACAGCTGAGGACATAAGGTTAGCAAGGTAATAGGAAACAGTAGACATAAATGAGTCATTTTCAGGATGACAACATGTAACGAGCGGGGTGCCACAGGAATCAGCGCTGGGTGCGACCAGCCAGGAAAGGACAGTAGATGTCTGAAAGTGAAAAAGGTATGACCGATAGTTTCAGCAGCAGATGGCTGAGGCAGGGGTCTGGAGAAACAATATTCAAGAAAAACATAACAGAAAACACTAGAAATACCTAGCGAAAATTTGTATAAACCCTAGAAACACTGCCAAGATCTGACAGTTTAGCATTTCAGGTCTGCAATTTTTCATCTTGTATTATCTGCTTTCATTTAGATTTCACCATCCACAGTATTTTGCTTTTTGTACAAGTGAGTTTTTCAACCCTACTGAAAGTTTTTTTTTAAATTTACAAAGACAAACGACGATTAACTTTTATTAAAAGGAAATCCTTTTAGGTTTCTGTATAACTGGCATTGTTAATGGTAGATCTGGTATCAGGGTGTCCATATTACTATGAACATTCCCTGCCTACAGAACTACACAGCTGTGTCTGTCTCACTGAAGGGCAGGTTAGTCTGCTATTCAAGATCTGATGTGGAGATCCCCATCCAGTTTATATTATATGACTTGCCCAAACTCCACTAGGGGCCAGGAAATCATTCTCAGTGTCTAGGGGAGCAAATGTAAACTGCCAAATGTGTTGGATTCAACTCCTCTTAAGGAAAAAAAATCAAGAGCACAAACTCAAGACAATACTATGAGACACCTAAAATATGTGCAATATTGATCAACCTAAGTTTTCTCAAATTCAAGCTTCTAAAGCTTTTATTGAGCTAAAATTTACTTTTTAAAAGTTGTTCCATGTTTGAAGCAAGTGATGATGAGGGCCAAGAAAAAGCAATAAAGAAAAAAATTCAAATTGCTTTGGGTAAAAGTTAGAAGCACTAAAGACATGCAGCAAACAAAAAGCTCAAAGCTCAAGTGGCGGGGGCAGGAGGCGGAATATGAAGGCGGAATATGATGGGGCCGAGGGAAATATTGAACTAAAGACATGTAATTTTTGAAGCTGCTTAAGCCTTTACCACATTGAATTTGAGATGGTCATGCGGTTTGGAAAATTACTGTACATGTCCATTGTTTGTAACGTAAATTTGAAAATTGGATGGGGTATCTACAGAAATGGTACAAAAAGACATTGGTTCCACTTAATTAACCCTACGCCTAGCCAATAACATATCCCTCGTCTTATATCTTCCAACCTAATAATATCCAGGGAACATTTCAAATGACTTCCATCCTCAAGCAGTCAACCTTTCTAGCAATACACAATGCAATACAACAATACAAGCATTATTTTAGTTTTAAATGTTCTTAAACCATCCTCTTAAGGCCAGAGACTAAAAGAATCTTTCCAAAGTGAAATGTATCATCCTGCTCCATTGAGTGTATCCTAACACCATTTAGATTTCCAAGATGGAAATCCTTTTAGGTTTCTGTACAACTGGCATTGTTAATGGTAGATCTGGTATCAGGGTGTCCATATTAACTGGGTGTCCATCGGGGAAAATTTATTTATTTTGAAAACGTTTAATTTTGGCCATACAAATTAGGATGATTTGAAAGAAGATTTAAATATTTTACAAAGTTCCATAAAATGATGACAGAATCACTACGTAGTGTTACCTGCTTTCATACTGCTGATACAGAACTTAACACTGAGATTTGCTTAAGAACAAGAACACGCAAGGAGAAACTTTAGAGGGAAATCTAAAATGGAATCTTCAACCCATCTACCAATGCAAGTACTGCACAAGAGCCAGTAACAAAACCAAAATGTGTGACGGGAAAAAATTTGCAATCAAAGTAAAATATTAAGAGCAGGAAATGTGAAAATGAGGGACATGGCCTGTGCCAAGTGACATATTTCTGTACAGTAATCTATAATAGAAACTAACCGAAACATTTCTGCATTTGAAATGGAATTATTCATCTCTTTTAGAACTACACAACTACCATTGTGATAGCAATTTGTTTATTTTACAATGTGAGCTACTAGTGTGTACAAGATAGCCATGAAAGAAGAGTCATCAATCAATGCATTTATCTCTAAAAGGACCTACCTGAATCAACAACTTCCTATCTTCTTCTATGTTTTTGTGTGTGGTCTCTTGCTCTTGTTTCTGTTCAGTCTTCATTGGCACATTAATGTTCACTCTCAGCTTTTTACTACAGAAAAACAGATCAGTTTAGGAAACATGATCAAATATGCTGGACAGCTCTGGCTTTTATTACTTCAACAGCACTTACTTTTTGTACCCCAGGTACAGTTTGATTAATGTGTCAGGTTTCATCTCTATTTCATCCACATTTGCACTTTCATCCTCCAAAACCTAAATTTTAAAAATAAACTGATCAAAACAAGTTATGTATTTTGATTATTCAATGACGTGCCTTTGAACAAGGAATCAGCACCTACCAGCAGTTTGGACTTCAGCAATATCTGTAAAACTTGTACCAATATGTCCTGGAATTAATATTAAAATGTTAGTACAATTTCAAGTTTGTACCTAAAAACTTTCTCCCACCCTGAACAAAGTTAATGTACATAAACGACAGCTACTAAGAGATCAAAAAATTTGATTCATTACGTCTACTGAGCACCATCAACAAACAACTGACTTAAATGTAACACAACTACCTTTTTTTTCCCTTGGTATTATACCAAATTTTACCACAATCTTGTTCTTTGTCAATGGGCTATGCAAATAAAATTTTCTGTTCTTGTTGGATTAAACATAAAGGTCATTAAAATTTTGCTATTTTATCACTCTGCTCTTACCATTTTGATTTGAGTGCTGTCTGTTAATTGCTGAACAGTGTAGGCATCCTCTGTGTTATACTGAAGTAGGATTGCCATCTGGAATGTGGATGCCTTTGAAAAGAAAAGTAGACAATTACATCATGGGGAGGAGTCAAGCAAACTTCTGCCATGTCTATTCCAAGACAAATGGGAGGAAAATATACCATACTTTATATGATTTTCACAGCCTCCCCACCAACCCTACATAGCTCAATTGCCAAAAAGTCAGTTTTTATTAAAAAAACAGTAGCTGTAGCAAAAATAACCTGGCCGCATCTAAATCGGATATAACATTAATATCCTATTGACAGAGTAAACCCAAGCTCATAATATATTAAATTCAAATATTATTTATTAAACTTGGCAAACATCTTATTGGAAGTTGGCTGTAAGAAAAGGAATCTTGCCTCTTCTTTCTGAAGCATACGTGGAGTGAATCCAGTGGGAAACCTATTTATTAAACACTCTTGAAAACAACTATGTCCAGTAAAGTTATTTGGGTGGAACTGAGAAATAAGAAAGGGACAATCACCTTATTGGGATTGCCCTGTAGACACAGCGCCACCACGTTTCCACCTCCCCCCCAGTAGTCAGCAAGCAATTGAGAAACTAATTTGTGCGATCTCTGTTATCTGTAAGAATAATACGGTGGTAATGGTTGGGAATTATCCTCCCAAACATAGAACGGGACTGCCATAGCATTAAGGGCTTGGATGGAGAGGAATTTGTTAAGTGCGTACAACAAAAATGTTCTTATTCAGTATGTGATCATACCAGAGAAGGAACAAAACTTGACCTTCTCTTGGGAAATAAAGCAGGGCAAGTGACCGAGGTGTTGGTGGGGGAGCACTTTGGGCCAGTGATCATGATTCTATTAATTTTAAAGTAGTGATGGAAAAAGATAGACGTAATCTAAAAGTGGAAGTTCTAAATTGGAGGAAGGTCAATTTTGACGGTATTAGGCAAGAGCTTTCAAAAGTTGATTGGGCACGGATATTTGCAGTTAAAGGGGCAGCTGGAAAATGGGAAGCCTTCCAAAATGAGATAACAAGAGTCCAGAGACAGTACGTTCCCATTAGGGTGAAGGGTAAGGTTGGTATGCGTAGAGAATACAGGATGACTAGAGAAATTGAGGTTCGGGTCAAGAAAAAGAAGAAAGCATATGTCAGGTATAGACAGCAGAAATGAAGTGAATCCCTATAAGGGTATAAAGGCTGTAGATGTGTATTTAAGAGGGAAATCAGAGGGCAAAAAGGGGACATAAGATAGCTTTGGCAAATAGGGTTAAGGAGAATCCAAAGGGATTCTACAAATGCAGTAAGGGCAAAAGAGTAACTAGGGAGTGAATTGGGCCCCTTAAAGATCAGCAAGACTGCCTGCATGTGGAACCAGAGGAGATGGGCGAGATACTAAATGAGTATTTCGCATCAATGTTTACTGTGGAGAAGGACATGGACAATAGAGAACTTGGGTAAATAAACACAGTGATATCTTGAAAAGAGTCCATATTACAGAGGCAGTGGTGCTAGACATCTTAAACACATAAAAGTGCATATATTCCTGGGACCTGATCAGCTGTACCCTATACCTTTGTGGGAAATGATTGCTTGGGCCCCTTGCTGAGATATTTGTATCATCGATAACCACAGGTGAGGTACCAGAAGACTGGAGGTTGGCTAACATGGTGCCATTATTTAAGAAAGGTGGTAAGGAAAAGCCAGGGAACTATAGACCAGAGAGCCTGACGTCAGTGGTGGGCAAGTTGTTGGCGGAAATCCTGAGGGACAGGATTTGGAAAGGCAAGGACCAATTAAGGATTGTCAGCATGGCTTTGTGCAGGGAAACTGTGTCTCACTAACTTGATTGAGTTTTTTGAAGAAGCGACAAAGAGGACTGATGAACATACAGTGGTGGACATGGTCTACAGTAAAGGTTTGACAAGGTTCTGCATGGTAATTGGTTAACAAGGTTAGATCACATGGAATACAGAGCAAACTAGCCATTTGGATACAGAACTGGCTCAAAGGTAGAAGACAGAGGTGGTGGTGGAGGGTTATTTTTCAGACTGGAGGCCTGCGACCAGCAGTGTGCTGCAAGGATCAGTGCTGAGTCCGCTGCTCTTTGTCATTTATATAAATTATTTGATGTGAATATAGGAGGTATAGTCAGTCAGATTGCAGAGGACACTGAAATTGGTGGTGTAGTGGACAGCCAACAAGGTTACCTCAGAATACAACAGAACCTTGATCAAATGGGCCAATGGGCCAAACAGTGGCAGAAGGAGTTTAATCTTGAAAAATGTGAAGTTTTACATTTTGGTAAGGCAAATCAAGACAGGACTGAAACACTTAATGGTAAGGTCCTGTGAGACGTTGGAGTGCAAGTTCATAGTTCCTTGGAAGTAGAGTCACAGGTAGACACGGTAGTGAAGTACGCTTTTTTAGTATGCTTGCCTTTATTGGTCAGTGCATTGAGTATAGGAATTGGGAGGTCATATTGCAGCTGTACAGCACATTGGTTAGGCCACTTTTGGAATACTGTGTTCAATTCTGATCTTCCTGCTATAGGAAAGACGTTGTGAAACTTGAAAGGGTTCAGAAAAGATTTACGAGGATGTTGCCAGGGTCAGAGAGTTTGAACTATAGGGAGAGGCTGAATAGGCTGCGGCTATTTTCCCAGGAGCATCTGAGGCCGGGTAGTGACCCTATAGAGGTTTATAAAATCGTGAGCGGCATGGATAGGGTGCCAGGGAAGGGAGTCCAAAACTAGAAGGCATAGGCTTAAGGTGAGTGGATGAAGAATTAAAAGGGACCCAAGGGCCAACTTTTTCACACAGAAGGTGGCCCGTGTCTGTAATGAGCTCCCACAGGAAGTGGAGGAGGCTGGCACAATTATAACATTTAAAAGGCATCTATGAATAGGAAGGGTTTACAAGGATATGTACCAAATGTTGGCCATTGGAATTAGATAAATTGAGGATATCTGGTCGGCATGGACGAGTTGAACCAAGGATCTGTTTACAAGTTGTACAATTCTATGACCCTATGACTTCTCAACATTGTATTTCCTGAGCAAGATGCATCTGCTTTGAGCAGAGACATCTGCCTATGTTGGTGACACCAGTTTCCATGTCAGAATGCCAGACAAACAGCCACTTGAACATGCCATATTTTACCTGCTTTGCCTTCAAGATTTAAGACTTATTGGCCATAAAGCGGCCAAAGGGAAACTCTCAGTAGAGAGAGATAGCCACTTTTTCCCTTTACTCTTTGTGCATGTGTTCTGGGTTACTTACAGGGATAAGCCTTTATAGTTTCTTAGCACAAACTGTAAAAGAAGTAATAAATATATTGTATAAAATAATTTTGCAGCGATGGGGAATAACTTGTTTTGTAATAAAAAAATGTTTATCGAAGAAGCCTGTTTGCTTGGTATCTGTATTTTATTTTAAGGAGAGAAAGCAATTAGTTATATCACAAACCAGCTATGTTATTCCCTACGGAGCAGCAGGACTACAGAAAGACCTAGCATATTCCTCAATTGCAAATAAAGGCTACATGGTAGTCTCTAGCAGGGAAATAGCACTGCACAGGGGAGTCAAACATACAGCTCAGGATAAAGCTTCAACTTGTGTCCAGTTTCTTCTACTTCCCCAAGGCCCACCCAAAACAAGTTCGTAAAGCACAGAATTGGAAGAAATATTTACAGATGCGACACTTACAGTGTTATACACAGATGAGAGTAGGCTTCTCCTAACCAACCGAGTTTCAGTTGGTCATAAAATTAAAATGCTGGGAATACTCAGTATTTCTGGAAGTGTCTACTGAGAGAAAGAGTTAACATTTCAGGTTGCTTCAGAACATTATTGCATCCTGTTTTGGCAGAGCAGAGCTACCCTGCCGTTTTTTTATTCCTGTCTACCATCCAAAATTTATACAGCTCTTGAATATTTCATTCTCTGCTATGGTCACTTTGCAACCAGGACATGCTTTCTTCAAGCATCTTTATAATGCATCTCAATTCCTTGTACTGCATCAACCTTTTTGCATTACACCGTTTTTATAAAGTATTTTTGGGCAGCTAAAATTTTGCAACAAGATTAACCTAGTTTCCAAGTTTATTAAACTCCTTTGTCCCACACCTTCAGACTATGCCAGCTCAACAGGATGGATGCAGAAAAGATACTTCCTTTAGTGGGAAAATCTAGAATTATTGATCCAGGTCTTGATGTGGAGGGGACAATTTCAAAGGTTACAGACAACATAAAACTTGGGAGCATTTTAAATTGTGAGTAGAACTCTTGCTGGAGTAGCAGATAGCTGGCAGATGATGTTCAATACAAAGATTGGTACTAAGAACATATAAAACTAAAGGGTACTATTCTAAAGCACGTACAGAAACAGAGATACCTGGGTGTACACATGCATAAGTTAAAGATGGCAGGACAGGTGGAAACTGAAGGTATTCTAGGCTTTATTAATTGAGGTGTACAGTGTAAGAGCAGAGAGGTTATGTAGAAGGTATAGGATACTCATTAATCTCAGCTGCAGTTTTGGGCATGCACACACATTGAGGAGGATATGCCTACACTGGAAAGAATTGCAGGAGACTTGTATCAAAATGGCTCAAGGAATGGGAAACCTCAGTTGAAGGTAGACTGGAGAAGTTAGGACTGTTTTCCCTGGGGAGGAGAAGGCCAAGAGAAAACCTAATAGAAGTTTCCAAAATCATGAGTCGTCCGGATAAAAGTAGAAAGGGAGAAACTGTTCTCACTTGTAACAGGATTAAGAACCAGACTGCACAGATTTAGTTTCGTAAAAGAAGGAATTGCGAGAGGATAAAAAACTTTTTCACACAATAAATAGTTGGGGTCTAAAGATGTATTATAAAAATAAAGCCCTACATAGAACTGTGATGAAATTAGGTCCAATTAAGGCATTCAGAGGGCATTAGATGATTATTTGAATAGATTAGTTGAATAGAAACAACATACAAAATTATAAGAAAAGGCAGGTGACTGCCGAAATGGTCAAAGCTAATGCAGATCCAATAAACAGAATGGCCTCCTTCTGCACAATGATTCTGTGGTTCCTGATGCGTATATATTGGAAACCTACAAGAGCTTTTCAGCGATTATGTTTTAATCTAACCTCCTTAATCGAAAGCAATATGACCAGAAAGATTCATTCCCCACAAGCTTAACAAACTCAAAATTAATTAACCTTAATGTGTTTTATGCATATTTTCACTCACGCAATGTACAAAATAAAATTCTGTTAATGACACCAAAAACATCTGTTTTTGCTATTAAAGATGGATTGTTTCTTCTTTATAGTTGCATATCTCACCTGTAAAGTATATCTGTTCTTAAAGCAGTTTGTAACTAGCTCTCCTTTGGACAACTGATACAGCCACGTCAATTTACGCCCACTGTGTCGACTGGCATAGAATGCTGTGAATCTCTGATAACTGCGTTCCAACTGTGGTAACACAAAGCTGATGTTTATTCAATGAATTTTATTAACTTATATTACGAAATATAAAACACCTTGTAACAACATGTAAAATAAACAGGAAACACATTTCAAATTTACCTCAGATGGGAGTGCAAATGTGCATGACTGCTGGAAGGGCCAAGAACCGGAGCTCAAAACCTGAATACTGAAATCCACTAAAGAAGGAGGTTTAAAAAAAATTTTCAAAATATTTTTATTTGTTGAATCAAAACATCAAACCACATTATAGGTTGAAAAGAACAAGCAAAATTACAAAGACAAATCACACAAGTGGTAGACCCTGAAATCCCTGGCGGGATGTTAACGTACATTTAAAATACTTGACTGAAAATCTTCTCTACAATTTAACAGAAGCAGTAATCACACTTAACACAAATGGTCACCCGTCTACCAAAAACAGTCTGTGTGCGGATTCTAGACATGGCCAGAGACCATACTGCTCCTTTTAAATAAATCTTATAAAGGAGTTTTTGGCTGTCTATCATACACATTTGACATTTTGATCCCGGTTAAATAACTTTTCCTTACTAGAAAGGCACTGCACGCATTCCTTCAATTTATACTTACAGTCAAGTGGCTCAGAATTAGACAGATGTTTTTTGAATTGTTCATTCAGGTCTTTGCTCACACCAATATCCTGGAACATTCGCTGGAGTTTAGAGGTATACTCAAAGCCACAGGCTTGCTGAAATATGTAGAAAACAAAACTCATTAGGGAAATGCAATTCAAAGTAATGTCTTCATTAAATGTTGACTAAAAGTCTTTTCTGGGCAATTCTACTTATTCTGTAGAAATTTTTATTAACACTGAAACCCTATTAAGTTCAACTCATTGCAATTATTCTTCAGGTTGCTGCATTCTTAAACAAAGGTGCCAGATTGTGGCATTGAGGAGTTTCTCAACCAAGGGATCATGACGTCATCCCATGGCTGCACATTTGTTGTCATAACATTTCAAAGCAATTCTGAAAAGTGCTTTTTCGTATGTTCATAAAACAATGTTATATCAATGCATGCCCTCAATTTAGTGCTGTATGAAAGAAAATAAGTGTCAATTCTATTTTCAGAGCACAAAAAAGCACCTGCATGGTCTCTATCAACTTGTATTGTCAAGTTGGGAACAAGGCACAGCTTTACAGATCCAGAGTGAACTGTTTGCACTCAACTCTGCAATGTTCTACTACATTATTAAATTACTCTTCAACTCAATAAAAGCTAATGAAACATCAGTTCTCACTATGACTCAATTATTAATTCAAGTGCCTCTCGAGAAATTGAACCAAACAAACCAAAAACATTCAGATCATCTTCTGATCCTTGCCAAGTTGGCCAATTGGCTAATCTTAGCCAGAGAAAGAGAAAACATAATTGGAAACCATATTACTAACCAAGTCTAAAGGACGTCCTACTGACCTTTAGTTTGGAGATCATACTGGCTTCTGCATCATCGCTAGCACTGTTCTGATGAACAAGTCTCTTTGCTAACATCTTGGCATAGAACTTCTGGAATACATCTTTGTCTTCAATATACTTAAACACCACCATCTGAAAGTTAACCAATCAATTTGAAATGGATTAAAAACTTACAAGCTTGGTTAGGATCAAAGGACATAAATATATTGAAGCATATACAAAATAATTACCAACCATGTTCAAAAGATATGAATAGCACAAAAATATCCAAATTGAATGTTTGGACAGGGAGTATATAAAATATAGCAGCGATAATGAAGCTGGATTGAACTACAATTTCCTCTGAGATAAGCCACACTCTTCCTCCGAAGGGCCCACTGAGGAAATGCGTGCTGCTTCATTACAAAGCACCAATCTCAATACACAACCATTATTCAGCCAAGCTTCCTGCTCAGCTCGCCTGCTGGGGGCTGATCTTGCCAACGTCCCTCCTGAAGAATTCACCCTTTCCACTCCCATCCCTATTAACCCTGCCAGCAGGTACATTCTTGCTAGCCCTTTCCAATCTCCCTACACAATGTCCATTCAGTTGTGAACAAGTTACTTTTCATCTATGAACTTCTTAGGCATGATTGTAAAAATGCTACAATCTTAATGGAAACCTGGCTGTGGAACAGTGGCACCTACCCTTTAAAGTGATCTCCCGCTTGGTCCTATCTTCTATCATTTACCCCACTGAGACCATCATGCTGTCCACATGGCTGTTTACACTTTGCCCTACTCCTGTGGAACTTTCTTCATCTTCGATTATTTCCCCTAATTTCACATCCTTATCCTCTACCTCCACCTAAGTAGAATAAAAAAAATCTATCACCAGGACACAATCACTCATTCTGCTTCTCAAAACTCCTTCCTCAGCAATGAGCAACTTCTAATTTTTGGCAATTTTAACTCCCATCTGAACTCACCATGCTTTCTCTGTCCCAGGTTCACTGCTCTCCTAAAATCACTTAATCTTATCCTCCATGTAGACCCCTCAATCCATATTCACCATCATTCCCTTTACCTTGCCATTTCAAGTAGTCTCACTGTTCCAATTGTATCAAACAGAAGGCCAACCCATAGTCTTGCATCACTCCCACTTGCATACCCTTTTCTTTAGTGTCTTAGCCCGTGTAAACATTAGCAAAAAAACCCTCAATTCACTTGTAAATCCACTTTCAAATCCCTAACTCTACCTATCACAGCCTTCACATTAGCTTTCTCCCACTCACACCCTCACCCATAATTTTGTTACATCTAAACTAGACTCTCACACTGACCCTCTAAACTGGAGGTCAACTCTTGCTGCCAATGACAGATTGAGTCCACACACCCCTCAACAGTACACATGGTGTCTTACTTTGGTTTCTCGTCAAGTAACAGCCCAATTTTAAAACTGCCATTCTGGTTTCAAATCTCCTCATAGCCTTGATCTTACACAGCAATAATGTCCTCCAGCCAAAACCCTCTGAAACATACTTAACTTCTCCATCACCACTGGTCATGCCTTCAAGCTGACAAGGCCCCAAGTTCTGGAATTCTGTTCCTAAATCTCTACACTTCCCTAACTTCCTTTAAACATGTTCAAAACTGCTCTCTATGATTTTATGTTGCCATTTCTTCCACATGGTCTATGCGGTTCGGTGTCAAATATTGCTACATAACACTGTGAAGTGCCTTGCTAATGTTTTAATACTTCAAGAGTACAATCTAAACAATATTTACTGAAATTCTACACTACCAAACAGCTATTTGCAAAAATGTTTTGTTGCAAACATGACAGACTTATAGGAAGTGGATGTGTGGGAATTATGAACAGTGCATCAGAAACTGGCTTGTAGACCGAAGGTGGAAAGCAAAGGCAGATGTCAGAGGTTCTAGGGAGGGAGGTGAAATATAGAGTATAAAACAAAATGAAACCAGGATAGACATGAATTAGAGGACCTATATGACACTTTCACAATAAAACTAGCCTTCCAACATCTGATGAGTCAGAAAGAATTAATCATTGCAGACGAGGAAATAAAATTTAAAAAAAAACAGGAAAGATAGGTGTAAGGCAGGAAGGAAACCCTCCTGAAACTGAGCATTTGGGACAGAACCGAATGGTAATACTCTGAGCCCTGATGGATCTTCTGCAAATGAAGTATAGTATGCCTACAGTACTCCTTTCATGTTGAACAGATTTTGACAAATAAATCAGATTCCTAAATCTCAAATGTTTATCAAATATGTGGATCATTTCACAACACCCATAATGTCTAATCTCAAAAAAGATTGACAGGTTTGGATCCCTACTGGTTTTATATTTGCACATTACTAAACTAAAATCTAGCATTTAACTCTATTCAGGAACAGAACAAAGATTTTGTCACTTTGTTAAGAATAAATAAAATCTTCAATGACCTCAACACATGCGTTTTGAAACCTGCCAACAGTGCTGTGCCTCTCCTATCTCCCACGAGAAAAGGAAGAGTATAAGAAGCAAAACGAGAGAAATCAATAAACAAGCAACTCAAAAAAGAACTGGCAAGACCAGGTGCATATGCTATCCCTTATAATGATCTATATGACAGTGCCTACCCCCCAATTCACACCAACCCTCAAATCTTGCCCTAATCAACTCACTCATAACTGCCCATCACAATTTGAACCACTAATGAATTTATAGAGAATTCAGCTATATGTTATTGAAATTTCAAAAAGGGGAAAGAATACTATAAAAGACTATTGAACAAAGACAGAGAGTATAGAATCCTGGGACAAACAGGATAGAGTCTTGGCTGGCTTTCAGACTGGGTCATTATTCAGGAAAGTGAGGCATGGTGATCTGCAAGGATTGCACTGGGACCACTAGTGTACACAATTAATATTAATGATATGGACTACGTAATCATAACACAATACAACTTTTACATTTACAGATAACATCTTTTTTTTTTGGGAGGGGTGTGGGAAACAGTGAATTCCAGTGGACAATGAATAACGTGTGGGATGAGCAAGCAAATGAAGTTCAACATGGGGGAGAAAAAGGTAAAAAGGCTATATTTTGGTCGGCAGACTAGGGAAGTCACCTATGACTTAGAAGGTGCAAATCTAATTTAAGAGGAACAAAGGGATCTCAGAGTACAAATACATCAATCATTCAGTCTTGCACTAGAGGTTAGTAAGCCCATTAGAAAACAGCAAACAGAACAATTGACTTTATCAGAAGCTGGTTAGGTTTTACTTAACAGTAATTGATTGAGGTAGGGTACAGAATATAGTGAAGCATGATTCCAGAAATGTGGAAAAACAAAGCTGGAAAGGAATGACAAGTTTGGTCTCTTTGCCCTTGAAAACGGCTAAGGGGTGACTCAGCAGAGATCTTTAAAATTCTTTAAAAAGTTCTGATAGACTGGAAACAGAGTCAAAATTTTGACGAATACCATAACTAGAGGCCATCAAGAAATACAATCAACAAGAAATCTAAAAATGGAATTCTGAACAAACATCTTTTCCTAAAGTGAATATGGAACTCGCTACTACAGACTGATTGAAACAACTGGCACAGAGACATCCGGGTGAAAGCTAGGCAAGAGGGAGAAGGCTACAGGTTATTGATTTAAATGAAGAAAAGACGTTGGAGTAAAACATATATGCAGCATGGAATGGTTGGGCCACTTAGCCTGTTTCTGCTCCATGTATCCAATGTAAATCTATGCCGTTTTTGTTAAAAAAAGAGCAAACATGGTGTCAAAAATTTCTAAAACAACCTTTGCTGTCCATTGGGCAAAGAAAATGCTTTCAAGTTAAGCACTGACACTTGGCAAAAAAAGGAACTGAATATTTTAAGTACACAATGCTCCAAACAACAACAGAAATTGGATGCATACAAGTTTGAGATCAAGACAAGGATCCTTGAATACATCTGATATTATGTCATTTAGTACTCCAAAACACAGCCAGGAACCGAGATCAATGCATCTCTTCTTTGGATTTTTCCACAAACATCAGAAAGTCATCACTACAACTAACTGAGAAAGTTGCAGAGTCTCCAACTAATACAAATTTGAATTCTAACCTTGTTCCACGTAAGAAATTCTGACCAACCTTCAGCCTATGCTGTTAATTGCAATTTTCTAAAATCAGACAGTCTACCACTAAAGGTTGAAGAGCTTCACGAAATTCCCTTAAGTTAATGAATCCCAGTGCAAATAGTGACAAGCATGTGCTAACATCTATCAAGGCATACAAGTGATCCAACTGTTTAGATAACTTTGAGTGCATCTAGGAGTGAAGAGGTCAGAAAATCTGAAGCAGCATTTATGTAGAGCAAGAAGAGTGCATCACTGCTTCAAAAATACAGGTGCAGTCCTGCCCTTCCTCCTTTCAAAACGAGTGGACACATTGGATGCGAATAACAAACCACGCATGGTAAACACAGGGGTAACAGGCTCTGACCTAGTTTTTGGCCATCCTGTGAAAGGTCACAAGTAACAGCTGGAGTACAATGGAAATCTGGTTTCTTTCAAGAACATAACTTTCCTAGAACATGCCAGTTAGAATTGGATCAGATTCTCAAGGAAATTGATGGTGAAGTTCAGCCATGTGAATGCTGTTGGATCTTCTTTAAAAGCACACACTTCAGCCAATCCAATTAACCCAGGTCATAGGGACGTTCATGTTCATAGGTGGGATGTCAATCAAGCAGACTGCTTTGCCCTAATGATGCCAAATTTATTGCAAGCCATTGAGGCTATGACAATTTAGGAAACTAGAATGCACTGCACTCCTAACTTGGCCTCATCTATTTGCTGCAGAATACCTGACATTAAACCCACACTAGTAGCTGCGGCATTTGTGAACTGTTTCACTTCAGATTCTACTCAATAGTTACAAGAAAAATGCTTGAGTTGTGGGTATTGCGAAAAAGGCCACTGAAGGTTAGAAGGTGTTTAAGATGCCCTGCTGTTGGAGATGGTCATTGCCCAGTGCTTTTATGGGAGAAGAGCTATTTTTCACTTAACTGTTCAAGTCAGACATTGCCTAGATCCTGCTGGATGCTAGTCGGATATTCTAGTTTACAGAAAATGTACTTAGGGGATAATAAAGATTTTTTAAACATTGAATTTCCTCACACATTGTTAAATACTTTGAAACTGGGGCATGTCTTCTGAAAATAATTAAGTGGACTCTGAAGAAACCAAAACTAAACAAACCTAGCAATGTTTTTTATTACTCACCACTTGATTAAGCGTATCCTCAAGTTCAGCTTCTTCTGGATTCTTGGAGCTGCAGAGCAGATTAAGATGTTTACATTATAATTAAACTGCACACACAGAATTTAGCACCACAGACTTTTGGTATTACTTATTCATTTTATATGACAGTGGAACTACATTCAAGTATGCTGAAAGAAACGAAAGTCTGCATTAATACATTTTTGCATTCCAAAGCAATAGAAGAAGTGTCTTTTCATTTCTGTTTCTTGAAAACTTTGGACTGCACGGAGAAAGAACTGTATTTTAAAAGCTGAAAGAACTGCAGACCTTGTAAATCAGAAACAAAAACAGAAGTTGCTGGAAAAGATCAAAATATCTGGCGCTGTGAAGAGAAATCAGAGTTAATGTTTCAAGTCTGGTGACCCTTCCTCAGAACTGTATTTTTGTTTTTTTTTAAAAAAAATGATTTACCAGGATGGTTGTATAATTTCACAGCAAGGAATTCATTACTTATCGTGAACTATTTTGAGTTTGGCTGTGACTTCCAGCAACTTGCAGACAATCAGGTGCCAAGGAGTTGTTAAGTGAAACTGATTGATTCTAAGCTGAGCAGGTTGGAACTCGAAAAAAGTTAGAGGTATGGACACACTCAGAAAGACACAGAAAGGTATGCTGTTTTACTGCCCAGCCAAAGTGGTCTGTTCTCTGCAGTAAAAAAAATCAGTTTTAAACTTGAAGACGACCAGTTACCTTTCCTGAAGCAGTATCAGTGAGCTGTTTCTTGAGTTGATAAATTAGAGACATTTTCCAAATGAATCAGTTGTTCCTCACATCTTACAGATCAGTGGAAGCTTCCAGAGAAAAACACCAGAGGATCTGGCTAGCTGAAGTAGAATCATATCAACACTGGAACTGGGAAGTGAAGATCACTGAACTGACCTTCCAGTATTTCTTTACATCTATCAATGATCTATTTTCCTTATTTGCCTGTATGCTTATGTAAAGGGGAGTTTAAGGGATAAAAGCTTTAGTTTATAATGTTTAATGCCAATAGTTTATATCTGTTTACTTATAACTATAATTAATTACTTTAAATGAATAATAATTATTGGTCAGTACAGAAACCTGCTGTGTGCTTCTGTCAACCTTCGTGTGAAATTCAGGTAAAGTGGGGTACTTTGCAGACCTTAAAAACAAACATTTATTATGATTCCAGAAATAGCAGGGCTTGACTTACAGTGCATGCCCCCAATGTGACACAAGGAGCAAGAAGCCTTTTCAATGTTAACAAGTAAAATATTTATACTTAATCACAATATCGTAAGCATACACACGGAAAGGAACGTAATAGCAGAATTTTACAAAGAATTGCCTACGTAAAATCACTAATTCTTCATTTTGCTATCCCACTCATTGCAGTCTGACACAACCTGGCTGTTCACAGTTAAACCGATAGTTCCCCAAGTATTCTCAATTCACAGGCTGAAATTTTGATCATATGAACTGAACATATCTTGTTCACCAAGGATTTAAACACAATGTGTGCTTAAATATTAAAATAAAATCAGGTAGATATATTTCTTCTTTGAATAGGGATCATCTACACGTGATCCTAGGCTTTATAAACTGTGGCATACGGTTGAAGAGCAATCACTAGTTAAACATCAGTGCACTGTTGAGACCAATTCTGTGCACCACACTTTGGGAAGGATAGAAGGGCCTTTGTGAGGCTGTAGGGCAAGGTGCAGAGCAGACTAAACAATGTTACCAGGTATCAGGCATGTTACTTATGAGATGTAGCAAAGTTAGAATTGCTAAATGCCAGATAAAAGCATTCGTTGATTTCAGTAAATGCGCCAATGGTAGAAAACTTGAATTTGCGACAAACATTGAGTCATAGAGCATGGAACCAGACCCTTCGATCCAACCAGCCCATGCCAAACATAATCCCAAATTAAACTAATCCCATCTGCCTGCTCCTGGCCCACATCCCTCCAAACCTTTCTTACTCATGTACATATTCAAATCTCTTTTAAACGGTGTAATTGTACCCAATTTCACCACTTGCTCAGGAAGTTCATTCCACACATGAACCACCTTCAGTGTAAAAAAAATAGTTCATGTCCTTTTTAAACTCTCTCCGCTTACCTTAAAAATGTACCCCCTTGTCTTGAAATCCCACATCCGAGGAAAAACACAAGTAGCACTAACTCTATCTATGCCCCTCATTATTTTATAAACTTCTATCGGGTCATTTCTCAATATCCTATGCTCCCTTGGGAAGAAGTCCCAGCCTATCCAACCTTTCTTTATGACTCAAACCTTCCATCCTTGGCAACATCCTGATAAATCTCTTCTGAACTCTCTCCAGCTTGATAATATCCCTCGTATAACTGAGTGACCAGAACTAGACAGGACTCCAGAAGAGGCCTCACCAATGTCCTGTACAACCTCAACATGACATCCCAACTCCTACACTCAAAGGACTGAGCAATGAAGGGAAGCGTGCAAAATGCCTTTTTAACCACGCCATCTACATGTGACGCAAAACTTCAAAGAATTATGTAGCTGCACCCCTAGGTTCCTTTGTTCTACAATACTACCCAAGGCCCTACCATTAACTGTATAAACCCTACCTTTGTTTGTTGTACCAAAATGCAATACCTCTCAATTATCCAGTTTGAATGCCATCTGCCATTTTTCAGCCGATTGACCCATACGATCAAGATCCCTTTGTAATCTTAGAAAACCTTCTTCACTGTCTACTGTGTTATCAATTTTGTGTTGTCCACAAGCTTACTAACCATGTTTCAGAGATAGTAGGAACTGCAGATGCTGGAGAATCTGAGATAACAAGGTGCAGAGCTGGATGAACAGCAGCCAAGCAGCATCAGAGGAGCAGGAAAGCTGACGTTTCGGGCCTAGACCCTTCTTCAGATTATCTCAAATCCTCAAAAATGATATGGCTAAGAATATAGAAGGCATGGTTAGTAAGCTGAGATAACAAGGTGTAGAGCTGGATGAACACAGTAGGCCAAGCAGCATCAGAGGAGCAGGCAGCATCAGAGGACCAGAGGAGCAAAGGAGCAGGAAAGCTGACGTTTTGGGCCTAGATCGTTCTTCAGATTTCATGTTCATCCAGCTCTACACCTTGTTATCTCAGATCACTAACCATGCCTTCTATATTCTTAGCCATATCATTTTTGAGGATTTGAGAGGATGATTCTAAGGCAAAATACTGCAGTAGTGGAAATCCAAAAAACAGAAAATGCTGGAAACATCCAGCAAGCCCAAGAACATCTATGGAATGTGAGACACAGTTAATGTTTCAGCTTGATGAAATGATCTTCTATGAAAGGTCAATCAACTGCAACAAGACTTAAGATAGGCTAGCAGAATTGGCAGACAACAGGAAGATGAAAGTTAAAATGGAGGTGAGAGGTGATTCATTTTGGCAAAGGCAATATAAACTAAATATCACTAAAAAATGTACAAGATCAGAGCAATCTCCAGATTCAAGCACGTAGATCTTTGTAAGACAGTTCATAGTAAGAGTGTAGTTAGCAAAGCACATGGGATCTCCAGCTTCATAAAGAAAACCATTGAGTTATACTGAATCTTTATAATGCTCTGGTTAGGCTGAAACTAGAGTATTACTTCCTGTTCTCGTCACCACTTTTAATAAAAGATGCAAATGTCTCTAAGACAGCGCAGCAAAGATTTACCAGTATGAACCCAGAATGGAGAAACTGGGATTGTTCTCCTTGGGATAAAGCTGTTTGAGAGGAGATCTGATAAAGATGTACAAAATCAGAGATATATTTGAGGTCAACAAAGAAACACTCATCCCAATAACTGGTTCAAGGATTGGGTCACAGATTTAAGGTTTTGGGTCAGAAATACTGAAGAAATGTGCGGACAAGATTTTTAAAAAATACGCAGCAAGTGGTCATGGTCAGATTCTGGTCACTACACTTTACGAAGGATGTGAAAGCCCATTAGATAGTGCAATGGAGATTTACCAGACTGGTTCCAGGCATGAAGGAATTTAGCTGTAACATTAGGTTGGAGAAGCTACGATTGTTTTCGTTGGATTAAAGAAATTTGATGGACTTTATGGTAAAGGGATATAGGACAATAACATATTTTAATATAAGAGACAAAAAATCCTCCCATTTATGATTCCAACACAGATTTAAAGTTTAAGCAACAGATACAAGAGGAATATGAGGAAGAACTTTCTTTAGGCAACAAGTGTACTGACAATCTGATGAAAGGCCATCAACATTATACATTCACTGTTTTTCTCCCTCTACAAATGCTGCCCAATCTGTTGTGCACTTCTACCGGTTTTATTACTTTCTTTTTAAACACCTTGTGGGCTATGTTAAATTTCAATCTTTGGCTAGGAAGGAAAATTGCACTCAAATGTCATTTTCCCCAGATCCTACCTTTTTTTCAAAAGTGAGTCACAATATCGCGCCAATAGTTCTGGAGATTTACTTGATGACTGAGCCATTTTTGTCACAGCATTATTATTTATGAAGCGGCCACATGCCTGGTTAAAAAAAAGGAACATTTCAAAGCTATAAAGAGAGATATTTCAACTTTCAACTAGGCACTAATTAACAGACAATTTCAAATCTTTACAATCATAACTTTTGTCTGAATTCTTGTTAAGCGTCAAGATAATGCTTTCACAAATGTAAAATTCTTACAAAACTGGTTAATCTTCCTTTACTTCATTTAATGAAGTCAAAATTTAGAATTTCTCATCTTGACACAACTTTGATGTTCATTCCAAAGTTACTTTTTAATAAATAAACTCGGTTATCTGACAATATTCAATAGCCTTTTAAGCTACTTCATACACCATTATCAAATTACATATAAACAGGAGCAGGTCTCTTAGCCCCTTCAGCTTGTTCTAGCAATCAACGTGACATTAAATCTGTACCTCAACAGCATTTAACTATTTTGGTTTCATTTCCCTAGAAATGATTACCTATCAAAATTCTATCAACCTGTCTTGAAAATTTCAATGGGCTCAGCATCCACAGCCTTTCAAGCACGCAAGTTCCATATTTTCATAACTTTTTGTGTGAAAAATGCTGTGACATGATGGACCAACACATGGACAATTACAAGAACAATGTAGCACTTGGTCAACTAATCCTACACCAGACTTTGCTTAGAGATCCCACCAAACCTACCAGGGTACGTTACTTCAGACCTGTCCAGGTTGCCATAATTTCACAAGTACGTCAGAGTTGTAATTATCGAGTAGAATGCAATCTGCAGACAATAACTAGAAAGGAACGGCTCTCCCTCCAGATGTGAAGGTTACTACAGCATGATAGTTTCATGCAACTACATCCTTTCAATCCACCACAAAGGGATGTTCACATCAGACATTCATGGTGCCTATCGGTTTCAAGCAAGGCACAGCACATTCATTCAATTTTTTTTCTACCAAGAATGAGATTAATTGAAACACAGGTTTCACCACTCTGAACCGCCTCAAACACAGCATACTGTAGACTGAAAGCTATCAGATCCCTTCTTATCAACCTTATGGTATAGCTAATTTTGTGTACTCACACCCCAACTAAAATTAGTTTAAGTAACAGCAAATATCAAACTATAGTGGCTCGTAAAGTTTTGAGGTATATGAACTTTGTCACTAGAGACTTTGGTATGATAGCTGTTAACCCCCATTATCTTCATCTTAGGTTGGAGCAGTCACAATGCCCGATTTATAAAGATGAGAAAAAAGCCATGTGACACTAATTGAATCAAAACAAAAGTCAATTGTTATATCAATTGCACCCCATTTAAGGTTATAGAGGTTTATTTCAATTTATAAGGGGTTAAAGAGCTGGGGCAAAGGAAACACTCCATCTAACAACACATTTTCTTTAAACCCAACTATTTTGGTTGTATGGTACTTCAGAGCATGATTTCCCCTCCTCCCCCACCCCCCCACTCTATCCTGAATTATTTCCTGGCTACAAAATAACACCTTACCTTATCCAAAGCAGCCACAAAACCAGCATCATTGTTGAAAGCTGACATCACTAATGCATTATACTTCTTATGAACATCAAGAATAGTCTGTACATACATTTTGGGATCCTAAGTCAAACAACGAAAAGGAAAAAATAGAGATCAATACACTAAAAATATTCATTTTATAGATGTGAAGACAAACTTAATTATAGATGAATAACAGCATTAAAAAACTCCAACGGTTATTTGGAACAAATTTTAGGTGGACTCAGACATTCTTGTGTACAAGTGTAGAAGGCAACATCACTGCTCAGAGTTTGAGAGTGGAGAGAGGGGATGGAAGTTTTGGCAGCACATCGTCCTACACAAGTCATTTCAGTGAGTGGTACTGTAGCTCACTCTGGGGGAGCACACTCACCTGCTCCAGGCCCAGTCCCACTTTCCAGTCGCCCCAAAGAATGGGAAATTTGATTTTAATATACGCTGACAGTTCCATGCGCTGTTGCCACTGCGCACAAACACAATTAACACATATCAGCAAATTAATGCAAGCGTGTGCAAAAACCTTACTACTTGTATTATACATTTCCACCAATGAATTAGTACTTCTCCAAACTTGGCCACTGAAGTAGTTTGCCAGTATCAGCATAGTGATACATGTCAACTACACTTGCAGCTTATTGTTTAGACGACTGCTTTGACAGTCATATTGAAACATACTGGACTGAAAACATTTATTTTTGAAATAATTGCATAGGACAATGATCATGGATTGAAACTGTTTAGTTACTTCACTGAAAAATGATCTTGCAAGCCAAGTCCTGGAAAATTTAATCCTCACATTTTAAAATCAAAAGCATTAAAAGTCCAATGGCATCCTTAGTGGCAGTTTGGAAGAATGAATGTTGGGAGAATAAAAGTATAGATGCACTGCAATAACAAGACCCAGGACCCTATATTTATTTGGCACATGACTTCAATTAAATGCTCTGTTAATGGATAAGATGCTTTTAGGATGAGGTTATGACAAACAGAGTCTAAAAAACAAAACTAGTAGTTTTCTTTTGACTTCAGAGTAGAAACAAGAACACAGTTCAGTTCCAGAGAAATCAGGCACCTCAGCAGAAGTGTTTTCTAGTCTATGAAGTTTCCAAGCTAGAACAGCTTGTAGAGAAGTCTTCAAGCTGTTAGAACTAATAAAGTTTAGACCCTTAGAAATATGCAAGGTTCACACCACTGACTTGGAAAGAAAACATAAAATTGTATCCACAGCCCACGGAAAAGAAAGTAGAAAGACTCAATTCAGTAGAAACCTAAAAAGAGTTGAGAAGAAATTAATTTCTCTGGACTTAAATCTCTAAGACAGCATAGAAAACAGGTTGAAATTTTGTTTTCTTATTTGTGTTAGGATCTTTCAAAATTGTCTTCTTTGTCAATATTGCTTGGTGTGGTTTTTTTTCATTTTGACAAATAACTCATTTCCTGTTGTTATAGATGTACACACTCATATGAATGTGTTTCAGTAACTAACCACCACATTGATTAACTAAAAATATTATAGGCCAAGTTTAAAGTCCAGTTTCATTCTAGAAAAGACCTCCTTTTGAACATGGTCATTGGCTGGCACTTCAATGTCAAGTGACATTCATACCACCATCAGTCAAAGTCTGAATGCTGTTTAGGTCTTTCTCCATGCAAGCAGTTGGGAGCGTGACTTTGTACACAGTGCTGAGAGTTGGGTGAGTAAGGGAGCTCTTCATCTCAATATTAACTGTAAAATTTCAATTTCTAAATTTCATCTAGGCTGAAGAAGGGAGGTACAAGCTCTTCATTTGACAGCAGTTATAGCTAGTTACTTTTGGAAACCAGCATGAACTGTTATTTTTCTGTACTTGGATCTGAGCCAGCTCCTTAGTCTCAGAGCACATAACTCCAGATTCTCAGTGTGATTTAGCACAGAGTGTGGCTTAGACAGAGTGCTGAACAAGCAATGTCCAACAGATTTAAACAAGAGGAAGGAGGTGCTTTTTCTAACTTTTTCACTCTTTAGGAACTGGTTTTTATTCAATTACTGAGGAAGAAGTTACCTGTTTAGGGTGTATATTGTTGAGTGATTAAGGCCAATTCTACTATTATGTAGAAGAATTTATGGTAAGATGGTTAATATATATAAGAGAAGGAAAATAATTAAGCGTTTACTCAAAATATGGCAGAAAAAGTAATGTGTCGCAGCTGCAGCATGTGGGAGCTTCTGAGCGCCCTGTGATCCAGGGTAAACATCTCTTGAGAGTGTTCACAGCTCAAGCAAACTGAGAGTCAAGGTTTGAGCTGGAGGCTGAACTACAGATACCACAATACATCAAAGGAAAGGAACTGTTACGTGGACACTTTATGACAGGAAATTGTCATGCACCTTAAGATAGGGTCTTCCGAGTCAGTCACTAGGTCACAGCAAGGAGGATGTGACCACGAGTGAAGCTGGGAAAGGGACCGAGAAAGCAGGAACCTTGGCTGTTGCAACCGCCCAACACATTTGAGATTCTTTCAGCTTGTTTTGATGAGTGCAAGGGCTGCAGCTGGATAAATGTACTGACCATGGTACTGTAGTACAGGAAGCTATTCAAGGGAGAGGGGACTTTTTTTTCTTTATTCGTTCACAAGTTGAGGGTGTCGCTGGCTAGGCAGCGTTTATTGCTCACACCTAATTGCCCAGAGGGCAGTTAAGAGTCAACCACGTTGCTATAGGTCTGCAGTCACGTGTAGGCCAGACCAGGTAAGGATGGCAGTTTACTTCCCTAAAGGACATTAGTGAACCAGATGGGTTTTTCCAACAATTGGCAATAGATTCACGGTCATCATTAGACTCTTAATTCCAGATTTCCTTTTTTCCAATTCAATTTCCTCCATCTGCTGTGGTGGGATTTGAACTCGGGTCCTCAGAACATTATCTGGGTCTCCGGATTAACAGTCCAGCGATAATACTACCAGGCCATTGCCTCCCTGTGCAGCCATAAAGAAATATAGGGTTAGTAGGACAGTATAGTGAGGTGGATTACACAGCAAGAATCCAGAATATTGCCTGTCTGGTGCCAGGGTTTGGGCCACATTGATGAGAGAGAGTGTGAGCGCGAGAGTGCGAGTGCGATGGAAGGTCCTGCCATCTGTATCAGAGTTCTGCATCGTCAGGACAAGGCACTAGACACCAAAGTTAAGCAAAACCCCAAATAAGTGATTATCTTTGGATTATTACCAGAGACACATAAAACAAAATTAGAGAAATCAATGCGCGACTTAAAACACTGGTGCAGTATAAGTGAGTTCCAGGGAAGGCTCGTATGGCACAGTGGTAGTGCCCTTACCACTGAGCCAAGAGGCCTGGGGTAAAGTGCCAGCTTCTACAGAAGCTAGTAATGTCTCTTAATAGGCTGATTACAAAATACCTAGAAGTGGGTGCTTTCCAATTCACGTAGCACTGGCGCCAATACTGGGGAGAAGGGAACTGAACCATGAATATTGGAGGATATTTAAGGAAGATTACAAAATAAGAGTGAAGCTACTTAGGACCTAAAATGAGCCTTTGTTTTTTTTAAACTCAGCATTGGAAATCATTGGAATTCTTTATCTCATAGATCTGTGGAAATATGTTCAGAGTTCAATAGATTTCTAAATACCAACGAAGTGAAAAGAGATGAAGATTGTTTGGGTAGGAAAGGTACTGAAGTGTATGATCAGCCACTTGGAATGGTGGTACAGGTCTGACAAGCAGAATTGCCTATTCTTATTAAAAACTGAAAGAACTGCGGATGCTGTAAATCAGGAACAAAAACAAAGTTGCTGGAAAAGCTCAGCCGGTCTGGTAGCATCTGTGAAGGGAAAAACATATAGTTAACATTTCAGGTCCCAGAGACCCTTCCGCAGAACTGGGTTCTCAAGAAGGGTCACCGGACCCAAAACATTAATTCTATTTTCTTTCACAGATGCTGCCAGACCTGCTGAGCTTTTCCAGCAACTTTGTTTTTGTGCTTATTCTTATTCCTTTGTTCTTATGACAGGAAGCGTAAAAAATTTGACAGCAGACCCTGTAAATGAATGACGGTATTAGCAGAAGGTTATCACTTTGGATTACCCAAGTTCAGGAAAACTAGGAAGTAGGAGCAGTTTGGAGTTGTTGGTTGGCTTGCCGAGCTGACTGTAATTGCGCAAACGTTTCGTCCTCCTTCTAGGTGACATCTTCAGTGCTGTCTAGCCTCCACTACAGCGCTGTTGTTCTGTTCCGTTCTGAATTTATATAGTCTGGTCTGTTATGGTGGGTAGTTCTGTTTCCGCTTTTGCTCCGTAGTTGTATGTAGGTGGGGTGTATTTCAACATATTTATGGCACCAGTGGTTGAAAACCAGGCTTCCAGGAATTCTCGTGCTTGTCTTTGTTTTGCTTGTCCTAGGACTGTTACATTGTCCCAGTTAAACCGATGTCCTTCTTTGTTGGAGTGAATAGAAACGAGGGAGAGTTGGTTGTGCCATTTTGCTGTTGGCGCTCTGGTATCCTGGTGACGCTCTTCCTGCCCGTCTGTTCTATGTATTGTTTCTCGCAATTTTGCTGCATGGTATTTTGTATATCACATTTGTCCTGCTCATTGTGGAGATGGGGTCTTTCATTTTTGACAGTCATTGGCGAAGTGTGGCTATTGGTTTGCGTGCTATTGTTATTCCAAGAGGATGTAGGAGTCTTGTAGTCACAGTTTTGAAATGTTTGTAATATAGGGCAGGGTGGCCTGTGTGTACCGACAGAGGCAGTTTGACTCTATGCCACAGTTAGAGAACAGGATCATCCATACACTAAAGAAATTACACCAGACATGCCAAATATCAAGAACAGACTTCCTAAAAATGAAACCCAAAGGTTCAAACACGCCCTGATTCTACAGACTATCCAAAGTGCACAAACCAGACATCCCCCTCAGACCCATAGTTTCCTTGCTGGGCACACTGACACACAGGCTAGCCAAGGAGCTACAACATAGACTGAAACACCTCACTCCACACAGGAATTCCTAAATAACATCAGGAACATAAAAATCGACAAGGGTGAAGTGATTGTCTCCTTCGATGTTACGGCATTATTCACGTC